TATCTATCTATAGCAGTAGAAAATATACAGAAAAGACAAGGGAAATATAAAGGGCATTTTGATGAAAGACATAGAGAATTGGACTTTGAAGCTGGAGACAAAGTTAAGGTGTTTGTCGCAATCAGAAAGGTTGGAAGAAGTGAAAAGTTACTTTCAAGATGGTTTGGACCATATAAGGTACTTAGAAAAAACTTGGAGAAGTAAATTAGGAAGTAGAAAAAATTGGTAGTAGAAAGAAGAATAAAGACACGGTCCACGTCAGTAGGATGTTGCCCTACAATGACCCGTGGACAGAAGGTGCACCTATCGAAGAGTATACTGAAGATGAAGAAGACGAAGAACAAGAAGTAAGAGAAGACGATGAAAATGAGCAGTAGAAGAAAGTGGCCACATGTATATTATAAAAATAGAACTTAGGAGGGAGAGAAACAAAGCTTAGTATTAAATAAATTTAAACAGGATTTATCGAACTCTCTTCCTTCCGGATTTTTGGTGATACTGACTCATAGTGCCACAAGCCAGGAGGTAGAAGTATCCGTCGGCGCAACTTGGAAACTTCTACCAGATACAATTTCATACGAAGGGTCAATCCCATTAACATACAAAGTACCCTGGCATGGAGAGACTTTGGAACCAACAATACTGGGAGGCAGAAAGTGTCAAAAATCAGAGAAAGTAGGATGTAAGATTCAACATATATGGAAGGAAGCATTGACTGTAGACAAGGAATTAAGTAGTCCAACTAAACACTGGAACATAAGTATGTTTTAGTAATTCTATCTTTAACACACATCATTTTTGTTTCATACGCACAAAATCGCATTAACCGACCAGAGGACAAACGAGGCGAAGAAACTAATGACGCCACTACATTCTGGATCAGGGATTGCTTCGGATTAAGCAGGGGCATTTCTGATCCAAAGATCTACGAGTATCCACCATTGGAAGCAAGGAACCAGACACTATGACAGATTTGGCCAACCAAAACCGACCCCAAGGAAGCACAAGCGGTATGGTACCTGGACTATTTACTGTCTTTACTGAGAAGATGCATCTAGTTAGACGGCATAACCCAACCCGTGACGGGATCTCCTGGCGCACCACATAGTTTTATCCATTTATTTATTTATTTTTTTTAATCAAATTTTCTTTCGATTTTTATATTATATTGTATTTTATTGTATTGTATTCTATTGTGTTGTATTCTATTGTATTATATTATAATTTATTGTGTTTTATCTTATTGTAATTCTATTAGGTATATTGTCATATTTTATTTTATTTTTGATGTCTCTCTTACAAGCATCGGGAGCCAATGCTTTTCAGAGGGGGGCATATGTTAACTACTTAAGTAAATACGACTCTGTACATTAATTTTACTAAAGTGTGTCCATGAGGCAGCATTAATTTGTTATAAATATCGCGCCGAAATCCATTACCAGCAGCCTAAGGCTAGTGCAAAGTTCCTCAATTGGGAAAATCCCTTCTGGACCTGTCTCAAACCAGCCCCTTCTGGGAGCATTGAACGCAGCAGATTAGGTCCAGTACAAACTTCCTTTATTTGGGTAACGCCCTTCTAGACCTGTCTCAAACCCAGCTTCAGTCTTCAATCACGCCAAGTGTACAGAGTGTACATAATACAGAGTGGCCTACAAGTAGTACGTTCCTCCGTAGAAGAGATGTCATGATACTATTTCTAGGGTAATATTATTCTATATATTCAATACATATCTTATTGTACCAATACCAAGCGAGTTTCTCTCTACCTGAACCCTACCCACGCCCCCGGGGGTGCGATTTTCGAAACCATTCGAGTACATTTCGTACACGAACTTTGACTGACAACAATGTAAATTAAATGGGGAGCAGTCAAATTTCGTGTACGAAATGTACTCGAATGGTTTCGAAAATCGCACACCAGGTCACTTTCCTGTTGTGACGTCCCAGGACGAAATGTATAGGAGTTGCGACAATATCTTGGGAAAGATAGTGTCTATTACTAAAAATTACTTTATGATTACTATAAGCAACCCTTATTTTTGAGATCACATTATCTTTGAAGCGCAATTGAATCCAACACTGAACCCAGACTCTTGCAGGAGTCAGAGTAAGGTACTGCTACATTATTCAGTTTAATTACCATATTACTTTTAACCCTACTTATTTGAGTATCGTTACCAAATAATATTACCGACGATTTATTGGGGTTGAGTCTAAGTGAATGAACAGAAGCAGTGGCATAGAAACTATTTAAATCACAATTGATTTTATCCTCAGACTCGACCAGTTCATCATCGAAAAAAGAAAAATATATTTGTGTTTTGTCGGCATAAAAATGATAGCTACGAGTGAATGTAAAAAATTTGAGGTAAAAATTGCATACAACAAAGGGCCAAGAATGCTACCCTGGAGTACACCCATTGCAAGGTTCAAGGGGTTAGAATAATTATAATTAACAACAACTTGTTGTACACGCTCTGACAAGAAAGAACTGAACAGAAGCATCACCAAAACCAATAAAGTGGAGAATTGAGACAAGTATTTCATGATTGAGACCATCGAAAGCCTTACTAAGGTCCAGTCCAACAGTACCAGAGCATTGATCTTATTTTCATTCGATGCCCTAAAAATTACGTCAGTGATATCAGCGAGTGCACTCTTACAGCTGTGACTTGGTCGAAAATCTGACTGCTTGGAAGGTAAAATATTATATAAATTCAAATACTTTCGAATTTGTTTGCCCATGATTTTTTCGAGGACCTTAGAGAGTGTAGGAAGAATGCTAATAGAGCGCAATTGACCAAATTCAACAGGATTCTTAACCTTGGGTAAAGGCCTAACTTGTGCTCTCTTTCACGGTGAAGGAAAATAAGAATTTAGAATACAATCATTAATAATATGTGTAATGAAAGGTAAAATAAATGGACAGCGGAGCTGAATAAGAGTAATATTTAGCTGATCACTACCGATAGCTTTAGATTTAATATTTCGAATAATTTCAAAAATGTCTTCCTCAGTCGACAGGTTAAAACTAAACTCCTGATCGACCCTACCAATTCGGATATTTTTGTAAAAATTCAAGAGATGTTGGCCAGGTTTGCCATTATTTGCAAATTGAATTTACGAAATAATCATTAAGTTCATCAGGGTTACCTAAATGTTGGCGAAGATTAGAACTGTGTTTTACTCGAATTAAGTTTATATTCCTTCAACTCTGATATAGGTATTCTGAAATTTATACCGAGAATAAGCTTTTTTTTCTGCCCGAATAGCTGATGTTGCATAGTTTCCAAGTTGATTGTAGTAATCGTAGTGTCATTGGCGCTTTACTTTGTTTTCTCAACATTTTAAAGAGCTTGGTGTTTCTTATGAAGAAGGCTATTTATTTGGAACAGGCTCTCCTCTAAGAGAATGATGGATGAGCTCTCTTCATGATCATTTCTGACTAGTGTTCCAAGATTCCCTAGAGCAGTTTCTTACAGTCTCAATTTATTTTCCTCAAATATGATTTTCCGTAAATGCTTGAGAAATACTATTGTAAAAATTGTTCTACCCATGTGTGACTAAAATTTCCTAAAAATAAAAAATAAATAAAATGCAGCACACATTTTAATGGAAAAGACGAATATGCTAGACTGTAATTAGCTAAGGAGAGAAAGCCTGATATTTACTTGCAAATATCAACTTCATTTAGGAGTCAATAGTCAATGAAATTAGGCAAAAGCTAGATAGAAGCGCAAATGTGCTATGTTCTATTTTGCTAACTAAACTTTTTGTCACTGCGTTGTAATTTGCCAATGTTTTCCTTTCATCTGGAGAGAACGATTGTGCAGTGAACATCATTCCGGCGACCCAACGAAGCCATCTGGCCGGGTTCGACAATGCCTTTGGAGCTGGCAACCGTGTTTACTTTGCGCGTTTGTCCCTTTAAAATCATGTAAAAATTATCCGTTTCTGTTTAATTCGTCTGTGTATGCATAAAAGATTTTTCAATTGGAAAAAACGCCTGTTGTTTGCTCGATGATGAACCTTTTGCGATTTGAGCCGAGCCGGATTTTAAATATAATCACGTTAAATTCAGTTTGGTAGAGTTATCCGACCGACGCAACATGTTCGTTTTAATCAGTTGATAAAAAACAAATATCAATGTTAATTGAAATAAAAACTGTCCAAATTTGACATTTTTCTGCGAAAATAAAAAAAAATTGGCCAATATTTTATTCCTATCGTAAATAAATACAAAATAATGAACTGATAAAGTATCATATTTATTGACATCCGTAATCGAAATGGAATGAAAATATTCGTGTTTCCATTTATCAAAAAAACAATTTCCTGTTGGCCCTGTCAGGGAGCAAATTTTGGGCTAAATGGTACCTGCGGCCTTACCTAATTTAATCGGGCGCCTGCATTTGCCCAATTTAAAATCGGAAATTATACGAGGGCCCATAATTTTCATCAGGAAAGTGCGGAGAAGGAGGGGGCAATGCGTACAGTTACGAAAAAGATGATTTATTGAAATGAAGTTAGAGCACGACAAGTCCCGGCAGAAGTTTGCAAAAATTAATTGTGTCAAAATTTTCTAACCCTCTCTCATTCCGTTTTGGCCGTAGTTAGTACATCGATTTCTTAATTAATATTGCAAAACGGAATGGGGTTAACTTGAGTTTCTGACGCATGACTTGATATATTTTTTATCGAAATTAATTGGAATCGTAAGTAGTGAGGAATGTGACTGTGAATGGTAAAACAGATAGGTAACAGCAAATACTCTTATATAAGCTAATGTCTGTTTCCAAATAAAAACAAAAACCCATATATTTAATATTGTAAAAAGAATTCTATTTCCTATCATATTATACCAAAACCATAGATATATTTGGTCAGCTCTGCTAAATATAGGTAAATAGTATTAAATTAACAATAATTAAAATTTCAGAAAATGCGGTTAAGCCAATATATTATTAAAGCAAATTAAAAATTAATAAATATTCAGTGGAAATATGTTGAACATAACAGTGTCTTTGTTGTTATCCGGACTTTGTAAGTTTTTAATGATTTATAAATGCATTTAATTTATTATTGCTTACGGAAACAAGTTCAAATTTTGGAAGCCACCGAATTTTCCAAATAATCAATGTTTAAACTTTTCGCTAGTTCACTCGTTTAATTATTCAATATTTGTAATGGTCAGATTGTTATTTTGTCATTTGTGTAATGAATAATAATTATTGAATTGTTTAGCATTTAATGGTGAGTAATACATTTTTAAACAGTAAAGAATTTTCTAAATTATGTACACAATCGACCGAAAGACTGAACAAATTAAGAAAGAAATCAAAATTTTAGGGATATTTTTGTTTATTACACACAGGTTTGAAAAGTTTCATTTTGAATTATTTCTTGAGAGTTTGTGAATAGAAACACGTGCATATTATAATAATGTTTTGAATTCAAGCTAACTTAAAAAACATTTCAAAGACCTTCTATTGAATTATAAAAGGTTCTGGATGAAGGGGACACTAATTTCAAGTGAATTACACAACATATATATTTTTTTGAATGATGTCGGATAACTAGATCGGTTGTAATTCCTGTTGAAAAATTCTCCAAATGTGTGCCTATTTCGAAAAGTAAGAATCCTCTTACATAATGTTTGAAATGAAGATAAAACATGTATTATGGGTATTGAAAAAGTAGAAAATATAATGAAACTAAAAAACAGATAAATGAATGTGAATGAATAACTTCGAAATCAAAAAAATCTTAACTTCTGTATGGGTATAAAATTTCGAGCATTTTGAAGATTTTATTTTATTGAAAATTCATCCCTTTTCCCTTTGCGACTCAAAAGAGAAATCTGATTGATGATATTGTTTTTGTGGGCTTGAATTTTGTATATTTCATGAACTATCGAATCCGAATTCAGGAAAAATAGGCTTCTACTGCTTCTGTGTTGACTGATTACTTGTCTTTAGGCTGTTTTGGTTACACAGCTTAAGTTATTTCCTGCTTGGAGTAGCAATTTCATTCAAGTACTAGGATAAGACGCATTATCTAGAAATGTATCTCATCCTGGAGATATCTAGATTCAGAAATCGAAATTTTCCTATCAGCAAGAGCTTGAATTCTTGTTTAGGTATCTGACCGAATGAGTTGGCTTCCTATATACTTTGTGCCCTAATTAACTTGCAATTTGATTAAACTTCTGAACTTCCATCGTGAACTGTATTCTGGTGTGAATAGCGTTTAGATGACTAAGGAATTTTCCCAGTTCTGTCTTGCTATGACTACACCCATCAAGACGTCTTGCCAACGTAGCGTTTCATGGCAAAACCCCTTTCAAATGACAGAAAGACAAAGTAGAGGGCCTTCAGTCTCCAGCAGTTCGGTTAGCCCTGACCAAGGCAGCGGACAGACCAGCGACCGAGCATAGGGAGCAAAGAATTCCTGGAGTGGACCAGGCTGCCAACTATAAATCGGAACATACAACGCAAGGACCTTGAAACATGAAGAAATATTGAAGCAACTAAATAAGGAACTCGATAAAATAAATTGGGACATAGTAGGACTGGTAGAACTCAGAAGAAGAGGAGAAGAATGTCTAAGATCTAAATCAAATCACGTTCTATTCTACAAAGGTGATGATAATAGTAGTAATTGTAGCATTCGCGCCAAGTACTCTAATATTTAAATTGATGCAATCGTATAGCCACCTCTACAATATCTCTGAGCTTGTAAATCAAATGATGCAATCAAAAAGCCTTGTACTTTAGTAATACTTTCATAGCGCTACTACGTTAGGCACAATATTTTTAAATCCTAAACACCTTTTATACCTCAAAACAATAATTCCTAATTCAGTTTAATTATTATAACTTCCTGTTCTATAAACGTATAAAATCCCTGAAATCACTTACTGCCAAATTTTGTACAATACCTACTTATACTTAAAAATCGTGTACTTAGCCAGAGTAAATACTATCGAAAATTAGAAATCAAAATATCTAACTAATCATTTTCTAGACGGAACAAAACAGTTAATTCGATTATCCAAACTCTTCAGTAAAATTCATTTCGATTAACAGTCATTTGAATTAAATTTCTCTATCTATACTAAGCACATAAATATTCAAAGTCAATTCACTCAAGTTAATAATATTTATGCAATAAAATTTCATAGTCAATTCACTTCATAGTAATTTCAACCATTGATAAAGTCAAAATAAAACTTGCCACTAGAGTACTTACATTTAAATTATCGCTCTTAGTCACTTAATTATTCTAATTATTATTCTTTTGATTATTTAGAGCTCGCACATAATCTTGAACGAATTTTCAATGTTCCTTCTTTCACAATTTTCCGTTACTTTTTCAAAGTTCGAGTTAACGCGTTTTCCCGAGGCAACAAAATGAAAGAAACTCTTTCCATAATCCTTCTGTCTCAGATATACAAACTGTTTATGAAAATAATCACCATCCGCCTAGAAAGGAAATTTGATGATACCAACCTAAAGAACAAATAGGAATAGAAAGAGCTGCATCACTATAGATCAGACTATCTTTGCACAATAAGAATACTAAATGAACAGACGACCGAATATAACATTACAACATGGCTAGCAATAATCGATTTTAGGAAAGCCTTTGACACTGTCGTATTCTGGTCGATAGAAACAGCTATGAGAAATGCATGAATAGATCAGCAATATGTAAACCTAAATCAAAAATATTCAAGGGGCAACAAAATAAAATTGAGAATGCATGAAATGCAAATGAAGTGAAGATCAAAAGAGGCGTAAGACAAGTCGATATAATATCACCAGAGTTTATGACAAATGAGCAAACAGATAGGTACACAATATCCATAGAAAACCAACAGGTGAAAAAAGTAAAGTCCTACAAGTATATAGGACAGGAAATAACACTTGGCAAAGTAAATCAAGAGCACAGATTACCTACATACAGATGCGAAAAAGCGGCGAATTCGTGGTTCAAGATCAATTTGATAGACATAGGCTGGCCGCACCAATGCCGCATCAATGTAATTTGAACATATTTATTATATAAATGAGGAAGCGCAATAATATAATATAATTTCTTTAATTGGTTCACAAACAGCAAAAAAATATTCTAATATGTAAACACACAGGCTGGAGCATGCTCACGCACTCGGCCACGTTAATTGTCCTGACGCGGACGATCTGTATCTATGCGTCGGGGTGCTGGCCCCCCGGCTTCGTCACAGAATATCGTCGACGGCAAGTATACGTACTTACGCATCTGTATTAGGTGATCTGTGTCAAGAGCTTGATATTAATGGGAGAATACGACTGGGATGGGTGGCGTAAAATGCGCCACATATTCCGGTCCAAGTTACCGTTGAAGCTGAAAACTAAAGTGTATAACGAATGTATTTTGATGCCAGTAGTTGCCTATGGAAGCGGAACTTGAACGTTCACCAAGAAAATCCTAAATAAGCTGCAAGTACACTAGAGAGCAATCGAAAGGAGAATGATAGGTATTACACTAAGGTATCACCAGACCAATGAGTGGATAAGGCACACAACAAAGGTTGAAGACATTAAACATAGAATATGTACCCTCAAATGGAACAAGGTCGGCCACGTAGCGAGAAACACAAGTAACAACTAGAGCGGAAACAAGATGGAGCCCTGGGTGGAACGAAGAAGCGTCGGCAGACCTCAACAACGCTGGTATGACGACATCAAGCGGACAGCAGGACTAAACTGGTACCAGGTCGCACAGAATAGAAATACCTGGTAACATCCAGAGGATAGAGAACGGCTAGGAAGAAGATAACTCCAAATAATAAAATTGTCATCTACATAGGGAACCAGCAAGTAGAGAGTATCAATTACTTTATGGATTCATGGAGGCCATATCATTGAAAACAACCAATAAATTCGAGTACCTGAAACCACCAAACACTGTCAATCCTACCAGAATAACATAATAGTTACCAACCTCACCCAAACTGTTCTAGCTGAATCAGGACACAGTGATCTAATAACAGGGAGCAATTTTGCAATAGCACTGAAATATCTTCAATATGAAGACATTATAGCCAATGTAGAAGCAGGTTATCATGTATACCTACGCATAATTACCTCAAACGACTGCAGAAGAAATACGCAATGGACCATGGAGTAATGAATCAGAAACCACGAGAAAAACCTTCCGAGTATAATCTCACGTACGAGAAAAGGAAAGTCATCCGTAGCCTGGATGTAGACAAGATGCTTTGAAAAATAAAACAAGAGATTGACTGGGAGTTATGACAAAATAAAATAGGTCAACTTTTCCCCTAAAAACGATGTGTTACCATATTTAAAATCCTGAGTTTCGTCTTTGTTGGCCGAAGACGAAACTCAACTTTCGTCAATTTTTTTTTTTTTTCTCATAGTAAATATTTATTTCAATTTATTTGACAAGAGGCGCATATTTACGTCATTTTTGTGAAAATTCTGTAAAAATTCACCGAGTCAAGAATTTTTAAAAATATCCCGATGGTGCGATGGTACAAAAGCCAAATGGGACACAAAATGCAATGGTGGATTATGTAGGCAAAAATATTGTAAATTGTGATGGTGGGATGGAGTTTTTTAATTTAATAATAATAATTTGTGTTTTATTTTTCACTCACGCAAAACTTCAAATATTCCGTAAAAACAGAATTCATGCAGTGTAATCGTTAATATTGTAAGGAGCTCTGCAGCAGCGTCAATTTCGCTTATTGGAATAGTCACAAAGCATGATTTGGGAATATTTTTTTATTCCGTGAAAAACACAAGGTTTGTGAGATGTTTTTAACTGGTGGTTTGAAAATGTGTGGAGTGGACATTTTCTGACCGGTGCTGCAAATTCCACCTCATCAATATTTGTCGTTGCTAGAGAAAATTTCCAGTGAAATAAGGATCAGGCATATTCTCTTGAGAGGAAGTGCGACCTTGAGAGTGAACATTGAAAGTTAGAGTGAGGAAAGAATAATTTTCTAGAGTTGGGTTAGAATCTACCTATTCAAAGCGCCACAGGTACTGCCACACATTGGTTCTTACATGAGCAACGTTGTATTTAGACCTGTTTAGAACTGTTAGGAAAATTTTCCTGCGACTTGACACTGGAAAATCTTGTGGTCCCGATGGCATTTCTCCCATTTTCCTCTAAACTTGCGTCAACGAGTTGGTTCAGTTCTATGTGAACTGTTTCTACTCTCTTACATTCGAGGCGTTTTCTTGTCTATCTGGAAATATTCCAGAGTGTAGCCCATCCCGAAAAAGGGCAAGAACATTCTTCCTAGCAATCGTCCCATCTCACTTACATCCTTACTTTCGAAAGCGATTGAAGAGGCCTCCAACTTGAAACTGGTCAGATACCTCGAAGCCAGTAAGCTCATCTCTAACAAAAAGTACCTACGGGTTTCGTTCTAAAAGGTCAACAGGGAATCTGCTGGCATACTTCAGTCATTATTTGGAACTCGTGAAACATGACGAATCCAGAATTGTAGCATTGGAGATCTCCAAGGCTTATGATCAGTTGCGGCCCAAAGGTCTCCTCAGCAAACTTCCATCGTATGGTCTTCCGAACTAATTTTGCCATTGGCTGGGGATCTTTTTGAAAGACAGGTCCCTGCATGTTGTGGTCGATGCTGTATCTTCTGATACGCTGCCTATAAATGCCGGCGTTTCTCAAGTCTGAACTCTGTCCCCAACACTGTTTCTCATTTTTATAAACGATTTGTTGAATGTGACAAAAAACCCCATATACAGCTTTGCAGACGATAGTCGCTTGATGGCAGCTTTCTCTCCTGACAAACCGCTTACTGTAGCTACTTCCACATGCCTGACCCGAAAACAGATTTACTGTATCAACAGTGATCTTGACACCATTACCAACTGGGGCTCAACAACCTTGTCAAATTCAATACTTCCAAAATTCAAGCAACAGTTTTCTCAAATAAGTAATCTTTCGCCGAAGATAAGCCAAGGATGACGGGTCAAAACCTTTCTATCAATCCCTCAGTATTTCTTCTAGAGATGACCGCATCGACCAATTTGTCTTGACATGAATATGTATCTTAGATTCTCTGTTTCGTGCGAAAAACTTATTCACTTCTGAACAACTTTTTCTTTTTTATAAGGCTCAAAGCAGACAGTTTTATGGGATACTCTTTCTACATCTGGAGCGATGATCTCAAGCATTTGTTGGCTCTATTAGATGCAGTACAAAGAAAAGCAATAGATATGATCGATAATCCAACTATCGCCGATTCATTGCAATCTCTCGGACATAGACGCAAGGTGGACGACTTGTCGTTATTCTATCGGTATTCCATGAGAGATGATCTAGCGAGCCTCAGGTAGCAGAACAGTTAAACAGACATGAATATCGTTCCTGAAGATAATGGACAGAAAAAGTCTGATTTATTTTGATACTATCTTTTTTTTTCCAATAACATATTAAACAATACTAATGAACCCAAAGCTATATGGAATATTATAAAAGCTCCTCGTAGCAAAGAAAATTCAAATCCACCCCCTACGATCTCTCCAGAAGACTTTAACAAGTTCTTTGTAAACATTTCAAACATCATATCAGCCAATCTTCAAAAATCTGGTGCTAACCCTTCAGAATTGAGCTCTACAATTATCCACAATAACTATACAGTTTTTTTAAATCCTGTAATACCTGCAGAGGTAGTAAGTATTTTGTGTTGCATGAGCGACAGCAAAGCAAAGGATGTCTTTGGTCTAAGCAACAAAATCTTGAAACAACTCGCTTCCCCTTTCCATAATTATAAACAGATGCTTTGAGAGTGGGAAATTCTCAAGTAAGTTGAAAACCAGTAGGGTGGTACCTATCTTCAAAAAAGGGGATGAAAATGACCCCGGAAACCATAGACCCCTTTCTGTGGCTCCAGTTTCGTCAAAACCAATTGGGATCAGCCTAAATAATCGTCTAACTATATTTTTAGAGAAGAGTAAGCTGCTGTCCAGTCACCAGTTGGGTTTTCGTAACAAAATCTACAGCAGAAGCAATTAGAGCCCTGGTGGAGCATATAGTTGGATGCTTCGAGGGGAGTGAGTCAGTTCTGGCCATCTTCTGTGACATCTCGAAAGCTTTCGACTGCGTGTCACACCAGATACTACTAAACAAGCTGGGCTACTACGGCGTTAGAGGCAACACACTGCATATAATTGAGTCATATCTTTCAGACCGCTGCCAGCTGGTGGATCTTGATGGTAAGATGTCTTCGGTGCAGGTGTACCACAGGGATCCTTCTAGGGCCATTACTGTTCATTCTATATGTGAATGAACTTCCATCTATTTTTCCAGAACTGAAGACAATACAGTACGCAGATAATACAACCCTCCTTGACCACCATTGCAACTCTGCCCAGCTTCATCCTTCATGTGTCTCCAGCATTAGGAAACTCCACACATGGTTCACTCCCCACGCCATTGATCATCAAATCATACGTTATTTCACGTAATCCACCGTCCTTATCCTTATGAAAAATCAACTATCATATTACCAATATCAACTCCCTCCTACTCTGAAAAAGTTCAAGCCGAAGTCGCGCGTAGAAATCGCCCGCTGCTTATCAGTGAATTTGAATTCAACTGACGAACCTACCCGTTGTTAATTTTTAAGAATACAGGGACAGGCTAGTGAATTTGTAAAAAAAGCCACATCTTTACATTGGTTCTGGTATTGATTTGTTTGTTTTTGTACAGTGTGTACCAGCCAAATGGAATAAATTCGATAATAAATAGATAGGGAACTTTTTGAAAAAACGCTCGGACACGCAATTTTATTTTTTTTGCTTAAGATTTTTTTACACCAATTTTTTTATACAGGTTGCTCCAAGAACAGCCGTAAGGTTATCAACTTTCTTTTTTCAAATAGTGCTCCCTGTATATTATGACATTTCTGGATTCTGCGGAAAATTCTAGACATATTTCATGTACAGGGTGGGCCAATTTGGACACTTTTAATAGGAAACGTCAATTTCTGAGCAAGATACAAAAAAAATGAACCCCCCACTCTGAGGCTCAAATTTCACACACAGTGATTACTTTTAGCACTGAGTGCTAAAAGTCATCACTTTTAACACCAGTGCCATAAAATGGCATGTTAGACACTGACAGCATCCGTTAAAAATTACACTTCTAGTGACGTTTGTAGAAAAATCAAGTTACGTGTACGAACGATTTTTTAAAAAATAAACGTGGCATCAGATATCTAGCCTGTTTTGTTTTCAATGGTACACCCTGTATATCCTGTTGTTTTTTTTAAATTACCTCCTCTTAATTTTTATGGTAATTTATATACAACTTCAAACTACATATTACATCGGTAAATAACAAGTACCTTGGTACCTATTTCTTTTATGCCTATAATACAACTAGGTACCAGATTCAACAAATGATTATCAAAATTGTTTTTATTGAATGGGGTTGAGGTTGGGTGGGCCACTTCACCATTTGCCCGGTGGGCCAAATGACCCCCAGTTCGACAATGATTGTATTGATTATTGAATTGCGTCTTCTATATTTTGAAGTTACATCTGTATACTGTATTTGTTCACCTATATAGTCGTTGACAACGCTAAACATTTTATTGTATTTGAGTAAATAAAGAATTTTATTATTATTATCATTATTATTATTACAAAGAAGCCCTAACAAAAATAAAGTTCATATTATGTATTTTTTGAATCTTCTTATATTCTCAAATATTTGTTTATTTACCAGTATTGTCTGACATCCGCCCAATCCCTTCGGTAGACACCGAAGATCAGACACAAGTTCAATTCAACGGTTTTGCTAAAACAACAAGATACTGGGATTGCTGTAAGCCATCATGTTCATGGTCTGCTAACGTCCATGAATCGAAACCAGTGGACTCTTGTCAAATGAACGGAGTTCGAAGAATCAACAATCAAGCACAATCTGGATGCAATGGAGGGCCAGCTTTTACCTGTAACAACCAGCAACCTTGGAAAGTTAACAACAATTTGGCCTATGGATTTGTAGCTGGATCCTTTAAGGTCACGAGTTTATTTTCTCTAAATGTCTTATTTTAACTATTTTTTTAAGGGAGGAGTGGATAATAGTAGATGTTGCACATGTTACAAACTAAAGTTTCGCAATCCTCGTGGAAAGGTAATGATAGTTCAAGTAATAAATACTGGTGGTGACTTAGGTCACAACCATTTCGATATTCAGATTCCTGGAGGTATTTAAAGCTTCTCAAATTTTAAAATATTTTGTCATAAAAAGGATTTTAGGTGGTGTAGGTGTTTTCAACCAAGGCTGCCATAAACAATGGAATGCACCCTGGGACGGTTGGGGTAAACGGTATGGCGGAGTTGGCTTAGAACGTGAATGCGATCAACTACCATGGCAACTGAGGGATGGTTGTAAATTTCGTTGGAGGTTTTTGCAAGGAGCTGATAACCCTGACGTGGATTTTGAACAGGTTGGCTGTCCAAATGAGTTGGTTTCAAGAACGAATTGCAAGAAATAATTCATGCATATACTTACACTAAATAAATTATTTAATAAAGGAATAGCATTTGGATTGGTAGTTTTGACTAGGCTTTGGAATAAGAAATATTATTCTAGATAAGTTTCACAAAAATTAAACATTTAGTAACTAAATAAATAGGTATACGTTTTCATTTTCTTTTTACGTTCTAAACCCTGCACCAAGTCTATATTTCATCACCAGGCTAAAGCCCCAAGAGTTTTCGAATATAATTTTTAAGACCCGGCATTCGCAATTCCCCTTTTTATAATATGCTGAATTCGGGAAGCTGAGCGTTTCGCAAATTTCCAAGATACACTTATAGCGCTTTAATATACGAAACCACTTCACTTAAAACGAAACAAAATAAAAAAAAAAAAAGAGAGAACTCCCCGCATTCGCTTAAGTTCTAATAGGAATAAAACCGCCCCTAACAGTTTATTCCGCTTATTCGTGGGACGGATAAAAATAATAAAGCAGTCTCGTACGGTATTAAAAGAGAGCATTTGCGCCCGATTATACAGAAATAATCGCTTATGAAAATAACCACGCCACGTAATAACGCTCGAGTTTCGCATTTATTTTAACACCTTGTTTGTTTTCTGTTGATTTGATTGTTTAGAGGGTCTAACTTTAGCTAACTAAGCCGAAATTACCTTAGATAAATTTATGAAACCGAAAATAAATACCAAACTTACTCTCCAAATTTTTCATGATACCGAGCGAGACCTGATACAATATCTAAATAGCTAGGCAATCCAAAGTCGTGTCAAAAATTGTGCCTGGTCGGGAAAACATCAACAGAAAATTTGTTACTTCTATGTTTGTCCTTTTGGCGGTATTATCCAATTCCCAGTCTGGGCGAATTCGGAAAGGACATCGAAGATGCAACTGTTTTTATTAGTTATTTTTATCGTGTGTGAGATTTTTTTTACACGTGTCTCCAAATCGATTTCAAATAAGTTAAATAAGTGACAATTTCATCTTCATGCTCTTGAAGCAATTTTCAGGACTCGGCCGTTGTATACAATAAGGCAATCTGGACATCGTTGACATAACTTCTCAAAGACTTTCAATATGGCATCTGGAGTGCAAAGTCACGTGGTTTTGATTCCGCTATAGCCAGAAATTAGGGTAAAATTTCTCTCAGGCCGATCAGATTAAATCTAATTTTTGGTTACCAAATTTCTTTAAAATCTAAAAATTCCAATTTGCCAAACGGGTTTTAAGTCATGCTTCATCCACTAAAAACAAATATTTCGACGTTAAATTTAACGTGCTACAGTTCCGCTATTAAACGTTAATTAACGTTTTATGTCAAACGACAATTTTATTGCTGCAAATTAGCTGCTGCTCGTCAACTACCTACTGAACACTCCGGATTTGTCAGCACGAACATACTTGAAAATAAAGTCACGATATTTTAGGATGTAAAACGCAAGAAAATACAAAAGATACAAAATCACAGCAAGTCTGAGTCTGTTACTGTCCGGCAAAGTCTGAAGACGTCCCGGGAGTCAATAGATTTAAAAAAAAAACTCCAATGTTCTCAAAGATAAAGCATGATCTTTAACGTATAAATAAAGCGCGTTCCAGGATGTACTTCTTGACAACGCGTGCGGTAATTAAAATAATGACGTGCTCTTCCATAATTTTGCTTCCGATTCTGGCGCGACAAAGAGCCACGGCAGAATAATGCATTATTACGTGTTTTGAACAATTCAAAAGATTTATCACTCGGCTGTTAGAACCTATGAATATTAAAGTTAGGACAACCCGGGCGAGTATATGAAATTTATAAGCGCGTTATTGCTAGTTTTAAAAGTTTTAAATGGCTGTGTTTTCACAATAAAACTTGGGGATATCAGACAATTTTTCCATTTAAATTCCGAGCTAAATTGTAAATTTTCAATTTCATCTAATCCCCTCTTACACGATGTCAAAGAGAGATCAGCACGGCTCAATGCATAATTATAAAAGCCGATAGCTGATCCGAAACGCCATCTTGTAATCTGGCCATTGACATAGATAGCGAGGATATTATTTCGCTGAACAAATTATGATTTTTAGAAAATTGAAAATGAGCCTGACGATTTAGTGATTCTTAATCTACAGAGGGTGTAACAAAATTAGACCGTATCATTTCAGGGGCTCCCAAGAAAATTAAATTTTGTGTTAATATCTAAAAAAAAGCTGTGACTCATTTCCATAAAAGTTTTATTTTTTATGTAGGTAGGTATATATTTTTTTATTACATATATATTTTTTAGTTTTATATTATTAATATTATTATTATAATTATTATTATCAGTTAACAATAGTGCGCGGTAAAAATAAACTGATCAGATTATTGTTGACTGTTGAGTCGGGTACTATTAAACCTTCTCAGATGCTGGCTGTCACTGAACTCAAACATACCGGTACTTTTAGTCTCCACTAATTATTTTGAATGTCCCCAATAGATCCCCACGCGTTCGTCGCTCATAAAGTGTAGGGAGGTTCAGCCTCTGCAGCCTTTGTTGGTATGGAATGTCACGAAGAGTTGGAGGAATTTTTGTCGGTCTGCGTTGGACTTTTTCAAGGTCTCAATGCCCTTGACATGAAAAGGACTCCATATTCTTTGAGCATACTCCAACCTGAGTCTCATGTACCTAAGCCTTGTACAGCTTCACAAACATTTGGGGTATGGAATCTTCAAATGCCTTGGAAATCAGGTACATGATGGAGTTTGACTTCTTTATGAAGCCATTGATATAGTTTTCTCCGCTTCATGTCTTCAATGACAACAATTCCCAAATCATTTTGTCCAGCAACACAGATTGCCTGGGTAGACCCAATGCAGTATTGCATCATGGGATAATTCCACCCAGGTGGAGAATTGAACATTTGGAATCATTCAGTGGCATTTGTCAGATGGTTGTTCACTGTTAGATGGCATCTATATCCCCTGAAGGCTTTTATTCTACGTTACAGTATTTCTATAATAACAGGAACCTATCATCCGCAAATCACGACATCTGACTCCCTAATCCATTTGGTAGGTCACTAATATATACAATGAAGAGTAGGGGGCCAAGGACTGAGCCTTGGAAGACAGCACTTAAAGCTTTTCAAAAATTTGACTTGACGGACCCTATCCTGAGTCAGAACTGTCGATCCTGCAGAAAATCTTGGATTAGGTTCAGTAGTAGTCCATAGTGATGGAGTTTATGAAGAAGCCGCGCAAATAGTACCTTGTCAAAAGCCTTTCCAAAATCCAGGTGAAATACATCAACAGACTGGCCAGAGTCATCTGCCCTTGTCCATTCATGAACATTGGTAAACAGGTTCGTGGAAGTGGACCTTCCAGGAAGAAATCCGTGTTGAGAAGTTGGGATGATTCCATTCCCGAGCAAAAATCCACTCATCTCAGATACCAGGACTTTCTCCATGCATTTGCAAACGATGCTTGCTAATGGGCCTATAGTTTTCGGGGAGGTGTTTGTTGCTTTTCTTGAAGTAGGCACTACAATTGCATTCTTCCATTCCCTTGGTAGCTTGCCCCGCCTACGAAGATAGTTCATCATGGCTGAGAGGGGATGTGACAGAACTGCAGCACACTTGTTCAGGAAAATGGCATCCTCTCCTGGATTAGAATCTGACTTCAGTGATTTGAGTGCAGTCTCCAATTTCTCGGGTGTAAAAGTTAAAATTTCACGCACAAAAGCACACACAAGCACAAAAAACATAATGCACAAAGAACCGCGATTTATTTTTGTCTCGAACACAAAGCAAGACCCGAAAAACATGAAATCTAGAGAAGTTGTGTTTCAGTTATTTTATCTAAAAAAATTAATCTGAGAATAATCCAAGTTTTTTTTTTTTGTGTGGGCACAACACACGCCAATTTGCTCCTGCAATTGCTGTCGCAGCTGTAATAGATGCAAGAAGTACCTCAATCAACCAGAAACTATGTAAATTGAATTTAGATTGGCCATAATGGAAAACAAACGTTTCTCGAAAATTCCAACACTCATGATGCACGGAAAGATACGCGTTTTCGGGCCTGGGTGTGGTATAATGTTGGAACTCCACATATATTGTAGTGGATGAAAAAGATGAAAAATGGGACATAGAAAAGAACTCACTCATTATAAATTCTATTTCTTCTATCTATTCTGTTGCTCTGATGTATGCCACTTCACACTTGCAGTACTTTGAATATACAGCCTTTCGTGTCCTTTAGATTATTGAGTCTAATCTGAGTCAGTTTTTTCAAGGTTGTTGCTAAGCTAAATACTGTTCTTACCTTGCATTTTCTTTCAATTCGCTTTATCTTCTCTCATATCCCTGCAACATGTGAAATTTTGAATTTGGCTCCCAGTAAGACTTGTGGCTCTTTATTTTTCAGTTTTTCCTCAAATCTATTCAGCAAATTCTCAGATAATCTAGTCACGGAAGATATTTCTAGTCTAGTATTTTTTACCAAGGTACCAGTGAATCAGGCCTTGGAGTATCTGAAAGATGTTTTTCCGGAGGAAATCAACAACTTATTAAACCATTGTCTGACGACTACGTACTTTCAATGGCAAAATGAATTCTTTGAGCAGACAGATGGAGTCGCAATAGGGAGTCCATTCAGCCCGGTTATCGCCAACTTCTACATGGAACACTTGGAACAAATGCCACTGCGAACGGCCACAAAGAAACCTACTTGTTGGTTTCGCTATGTAGATGACACATTTGTTGTTTGGAACCATAGAGAGGCAGAGCTCGAAATCTTCCTTAATCATCTAAACTCAATAGAACCCAGGATACAGTTTACGATGGAAGTTGAGAAGGACAACAAAATTGCAGTTCTCCACGTCTTCTTAGAAAGATTCCCCTTAGGTAAACTGGGACACAGAGTATATAGGAAGCCGACGCATATGAACAGATACCTCAACAAGGAATCCAATCACCATCCTAGGCAAAAGAGAGGAGTCATTAAAACTCTATCTGACAGGGCAATCCGGATTTGTGAGCCCATATACCTTCACGACGAGATGAAACACCTAAAATCAGCACTTGAAGGAAATGGGTACTCCAAGCAGGAGAT